TACGTCTAGACTGCAGGCTTCTTTCGGAAGAATCATTTTTCGGAAGAGATCTTCTGAAAAAACTTCTTCCGAAAGAGTCGATCTACTTTTTCAAAAGACAGCATCCATTCAGTGTGGATGTTATCTTGCATTTCAGCTGTGATTGCTAAGGATGGAGTGGCCACCAGGGTACCTGTGCTTTTTCCTCTTTCCTCCTCTTCTTTCGAAAACTCCCTTTTCCCCTTCCACACATGCCTTTTCCAAAAGAGCTCTTTGGGGAAAAGGCCTCTTCCTCATAGAAAAGAGGTTTACCAACGCTGGAAAAAACCCTCCGTTCTTTCAATTTACTTTCGGAAGAACACGATTGTAGCGTGGACGAACACGATTGCAGTGTGGACATAACTCGGGTTTTGTCAGAAAAGTGGCCGTTCTCCTGACACAACTCTGTAGTGTAGACGTACCCTGGGAGTGGAGCACAGATGAGCTTCTACTGCCTCTCATCCCCTCTGGTTCCATGTTTCATCCTGCTAGAGTAACTGGTCTTTCCCCAGCAGTTGTCTCTGGTGCCTGATGTAGTGCAGGAGCAAAGGCAAGCAAGGACAGAAAGCTGGGCTTTTCTGTGACTTGGCAATGCAAGATGCCCTTACTTCTGCAAGCTTTTCCGTTAGTGTTGGCTCAGGTTCCTCTAGTAGCTGGCCTGCTGTCAGTATCCTCAACTTTAAGACATGGGGTGAAATCCTGGCCTCACTGAAGTCAACGATCAGCACTTCAGTACAAGAAACCTCTTCATGATGACATCAAAGGGAACAGCATGGCTAAGAGCCAGAACTGGGTAGGTGGCCCCACACTCTACTGGCTTGGCAAGGCTTCTTAAACCTTATTTGTGCTCTGAGCACCATCGAGTTAATCCCACGTTAACGTGAAAATAAATCTGAGCTTTGCTCGGAAGAATAATGATTTCCTTCTCCCTCCTCATCCCCCCCCCCCCCCACTACATTTCCCTTTGTGTAAGGCTAACCTGGTATTACTTACCTGTATTAGAGGTGGACTTGATCAAACTGCGTTTCCGAAGAGAAGCATGAAGGGAGCATTAGGCAGCTATTTTCCGCATATCACATCAGGTTGAATGAGAGGGGTTGTTTTGTTGTGGTATAAACATTTCTATGCAAGAAGTGCACTGAGCAAGCAGCAGAGCCCAGAGGGATAGATCTTCACCTGGTTTACAGCAATATAGCGCTGTTGATGGAGATCTGTCAATGCACACGGGACTCTGGCCCTGAGAGAGGAAAACTTGGCTGAACAGGTTCCAGCCACACTGCCAAGGCTCACAATGGTACTGTGAGGGGAGGAAGGGATAATGGAACATGAGATGTCTCTTTGACCCCAGGGCCGTGGGTGACAAAACACAGGTATTGAAAATACATAATAGCTAAACTATGGAAGACCCCCAATGTAAATAGCCTAAAAGTTGCAGCAACCCTCTTGTTACTTTTCATTAGCAACTTCTGGGAGGCTAATTCTGAGATTTTTTTCTTTTTTTCTTTGAGTCAAGATGCTTCAGATTGCAATGGGCTCTGCTGTGTACAGCCTTGAAATGCAAGTGGTATCATCAGGCTTAGCACTTTGTAAAAACCATTCCATTACAAAGATAATACGCACTTCTCTCTCCCTCACCTTCTTTCCCCATCTCCTGGTGCAGCAGAGCTGGGGAGCATGTCTTTGCTCTTGCTTTCAGCCAAAAAACATCCTACAGTTTTGGGGTTTTTTTTGTTAACAGTGGGGGACTGTTGTGTAGAAGTCACTCAGACATGGAAATGCATTTGCTTCTTAAATGATGGGTCCCATTGCTCCCTTTCTTCCCGTTTTCATAAATACTATGACCAAGAATCTGATCTAGAGCAAATCTGAAGTAATGCCATTGTCTTACTGTCCATTTATATCCACAGGAGGTCAGAATCTGTCCTGGGCATCTAGGCGGGCAGTTGGTCTTGTCGAGATTTGATTAACATGGCTCTTGTGTAGATAGCATTGTTCTAGGTATGTTTAAATACAGAAGCATGTGCTAGTTGAAACATGGATACACAGGGGGTCACAGCATTGGCTATCAGAAGGTTGGGCATTAGATTTTTCTCAGGTGGAGAGGCACCGTATGAAGAAACCCTAGCACGTGGTAACGGTAGGGGTGATTACAACTGTTAATCATTTGAATTTGAACATTCAATTTCAGTAGGAGAGGCTGCTGCTTACATGACTGAGTAAGTGATGTATGAATTAGCTTAATGCTGATTAATAGTGGAAAAGAAAAGGTAAGTGTGGTAAGACAAATTGAAGCATGTGACACTAATTGCTAGACTCTGGTTTCACAGACAGAAGCTTCCACATACACTATTTGTATCACTGACAGTTAATTATGCCTAGATGTATTACCAAGTCCCTTACAATTACACAGAACAGTTATAAGCATTACAGCTTAAAAATACCCTTCCAGATGCTTCACATTTTAATATTTTTTTTAAATTCTTCCTCCTTTGAGCCTAGTTTCTCTTTCTCCTATTGCAAATCCTGCAGTAACTAGCTAATCCATTGCTATCCCTCAACATGTTGGGCTTCAGATCCAGCCACATAAACGGGCATTGTTCCGTCGCCGTCACTGGACCTCTGCAGATATAGACAAGATGAGGGTCTTGCCTGGTCTGGTGCTTGTACCACTTATATTCTGCAGACTATGAAACCACTGAAAAGTTGTCTCAGTTCTTCTTATATATTGAGAAGTTAATGCCTGGGACAGACCAGTCTTCTCCTGATCCACAACCCCCCTCCCCATAACTATCAAGTTAAAATCCACCTCCTGGGTTTACACTCCTGAATAGCTGGTGTCTAGTGCTGCCTCTAAGGTTCTACAGTTTGAGCCATGTGTTGTGAAATATCTGCTCTTCTGAGTGCTGAGATTCATTTATGTAATGCCAACTGTTTCAAAATCCCACAGCCATTGTGGGACAGGAGCTGGAAGCTTAAATTTATCAAGTAAAGCAAGTTTTTAAAGATTCAGTGTCATATAACAGCTATCACCACCAATGGGAGTGGTGAGAGATTCTTCAAAGTTCTGCCTGTAGAATAAACCCCACATATTCAAATCAAAGTGAGAGTATGCTAATAGTAGGTTATACAGCTATTCAAAATATGACCGTATAGCTGAATTCCACTAGGCTCCCTGAGCCTGGCTTCAGATTCAATATCCACACCGTTTGTGCTGGGTCTCTTGGCTAGGCTCCTTCTTTATGAAGTTAAATTAAGTGTTGGTATTTTTAAAACATCCCTCTCTTATGGCATCAGCTTGAGTGGCACTCACTATAAGTGGTGCAGATGGGCAACCCTTCCTCTTCTTCCCCAGACAGGAATAATGAAACCTAACATTTGAGATTTGGGCACCTGAATTAACCCCTCAGTGAGATGAATGGGGTAGGTCTAAGCCAGTGGTCTCCAACCTTTTTACACCCAAGATCACTTTTTAAATCTCAGAACAGGTGAAGATCTACCGCCCCGCCCCTTCCTTGAAGCCCCGCCCTCTCTATTCTCCTGTCCATCACTTGCTATCCTCAGCCCTTACTTACACTCTGATAAACAGTTTATTTTTAAATTATGCGATACATAAAATTAAAATCAGGTGTTTATGAAATACATGGGCTTTTTTAATTCATGCTATTTAAATAGAAAATGAAGCATTTATAATTATACATTTTGTGGGGACAGATCTGCGGCTAGGGGCAGGGGAGAGGGAGCAGGGTGCTGGGAGGCGAGAGGACAGGGTTCTGCAGCAGGGGACAGAGTTCAGGGAGTGGGGACAGGAATGGGGACAGAGTACTGTGGCTGGGGCCGGGGCGTGGGGTGCCAGTGGAGGCGGAGA